ACCCATATCAGGCTTAGTCAGCACAGGCATTTTCAGGGAAATACTAAAAGTCTATTTCTATCTGGCAGAAAGAAAAACCCAATCCAGTAGTTAGTACTCCTTGCTGCTAGGAAGAAACTGTGACAATAACGGATGAAGTCAGTATTCACTAAACTCCCCTACATGCTATTAATTCTGTTAAAATGAAAGTAGCATTTTCATACTGCCAAAGCTAAGTCCTCCACAATCATGAGATTGGCTTAAAAATAATGACACTGTTGAACATCCCACGTTTTGATTTCTTTGTAGTTCTTAATGCTTTCAAGCTCTCTCCACAAACAGAGGGCATGCAAGAACCTCATTTTTGTTTTTTAAATAAGTTCTGACATTCTCAAGTAATCCCATGACTCCAGGACCTGGGGTTTTATAAAAGAAAAATAAATAATGAATGACAATAATGCATACAACAAATAATTAATGCAATAAACATGAGAGAGACATGGCAATATTGGAACAAGCCATAACTGGGTTCTTAGACCCCTAGAGCACCTTGGCATAACTCTTGTGATGAGAAAACTGAACAGTGCCCTCTTGTTCTGGATGGGTTTTTCCTCACTCTTAGTGGAGGCCAAATGGGCCCTTCACATAAGTCACAGCAGCAGCTGAGCCTTCAGACTTCCCACAGCTGTGGCTGAGGTCGCCCCCTTAGACCTCTTGTACTTAGGTTCTATTCACCATTGCTCAGTTGCTGGACATGCCACAAGACTGGGGAGAAGGATGAGGCAGGCAAATGGCTTTAAACCATCCTGTCTCCCCTCATATTCTCAGGGCTGCTGGAACACAGCCCAACTCCCTGCGAAAATTAGACTGTGCATGGTGGCTGCACCTAGGTGTCATTTCTCAGGCAAAACTATCTGGATTTCATCTTGTTGCAACCACCCTTCTAACCTTCCCTTTTCTCCTCCCTGTCCTGGCACACCTGTTACATCTTGTGAGGGGAGCGCTGCATATTCATTCTGGCTGATCTAAGCAAGTAAAGACATTCCCTCATATGGGGTGTTACTGGGAAGCAATTTATCCCCTTTTTGCCACCAGTGCACAGAAGAAGCAGAAAAGTAGACATGTAGAGCCCTGCTACACATTCACATTAAAGCTGGATAGAAGACAGCAATAGAGTTATTACATATTTTCGAGCACTAACTTTATATCTAGTTGGCTCTTTTTATAGTTGGATGGAGTGATAATTAATTACTTCGCACTTGTGGTTGGTCTAAATTTATTGTGTGATTAACCAGTTAATTTTGTAATATATGTAACATGTAGCAGGGGCCTAAATCCTCCCAACATACTTCTCCCCATCCCCAACATTTATGGAGTAGTGACTCAGCACAGGCATCTTAGACACTAAAAATTACAAGCAACATATGTTCAGCCATCCACTTACCCTTCACACTCCTTCATAGCACAAATCTGTGACACACTTGCAAACATATACCACACAAAACAAAATAACAATAATCTCATGACACAAACTCAGTAGCATAATAGTGAATGGGTGAGAGGGGCATGAGCCCCAAACACTGCCTAAGGGGAGAGGGTGCTGGAATGAAGCTAGGGGTAAGCCTCACCCGTTACTCTTTTGCCCCATGCACCTTGCATCTTCCTTGCAGCAGGGAGAACAGACAAGCGGTGGCACTAAGCAAAACTGCTGCTGCTGGGAAGGGGTCACCTCCTTTTTTTGCCATCCAAAACCAGTGCTTTCTTGGCCATTCAACATTCATGTCAGTGGCAAAAAAGGAGGTGACATCTTGCCCAGCATCAGCAAACCTCCAGCCGCTGCTCCTATGATGTGCACTGCCACCACCCAGGACACAATACTAGCCAGTTATGCCTCTGTATAGTTGCACCAAATAGCATTTCTGATACATACAGCGACTGTATGTACACACACAAACAGAGCAATATCAGTCACAAATGTACTCCTTTTAAGTCAAATACATACAGACACAATCATAACATTTCCAGTCCTCAAGTGCAAGCATATACTTCAAACTCAGAGCATTTTAAAAGAAGACGCTGACTTTCACACTTCCTTTCCCTTCCAGTCCTTCCACCTCCCCCCCAGCCCCCAGGCGACTGGTAGCGGGTGCATGGGAGTACATGTGTCCCCCCAGTGGCTGACACTGATGCTGTTGGTAGGGCTGGTGCCCCTCCCCTTGACAGGGTTGGCGGCTTCTGCGGGTGCCCCCCCTCCCCAATTCAGGATGCACCAGTAACTCATGCCTCTCCCTGTTCCCCCCCAGTTAGAACTGATTCTACAGTTTTTAAAGCCTGGGATTTCTCTTTTTTATTTTATTTTGTGCTCAGTAGCTTAAAACTGGCAGCTGTAAAACTCATTAAGGTCAAAATACACAGAGAGAGCATAGCTCAACCATGAGGATGTGGTGGCAAGAGACACTGACAGTCTGAAAGAAAAGGGGATGACCATCCTTCCCAGCTTGCCCATCATGGAAATCTCTTCTTTTATCCCTCACTCTCACAGTCACATTATTTTGTCACCTTTTCTTGGAAACTCCTGTCAGTAGAGTGGTGAACAAGGTAGTATGAGATAATGGGCAAATCAGGCCCATTATCACTCAGCAGCTGGAGTCTCTAACATCTTTCATAGAGTTTTATTGTTATTCTGAAGCTTTCTTTAACCCTAATCTTGCAGTTCTATCAAGGTGCCAGCTTCCTTATTGCAGTGTCCGCATTTGTTCTTACTTGGTGAGCTTCTTCAAAACAGTGCTCTGTCAGTACCAGTAAGGACTTCAGCAACAGGCACTTTTTGCAGTGTAGCTTTCTTCTAGTATCAGGTTAGGATCCTAGCAGAATATGAGTTTCTACATGGCTGCATAGATCAGTGGGGCTTCAGCAATGTGCTCTATTTCACAGAAATGCATTGCTAGGACCCCAACCCAGAGGGCGTGAAGGACAATCCCTTCTCAGTGTCAGCTAGGAGTTCAGCAGCCTGGGCAGTGCTGTCTCAGTGTTACCTATCACCAAATTCATTCAGCCAGGCAGTCAAAGAACTTTTAATGTATGTCATACACTGAAATACAGAAAATTCTGTGCACATATTTTACAGATATTTTACTGAGAATCAACTCTTACTTTAAATTGACGCAAAGGTCACTTATCTCCAATTATATTGCAACTAGGGTATAGTCAGTGATAGGGCAGCCCTTACTTATTTGTTTGTGTTCTAGAATAATGACCTGTTCAATATCCAATTAAACACTCTATTTATAATTTCATTTTTTTGTCTGGCTTCCTCAGATACAACTTATGAATGAAACAAAGAAACCTGTGGTGCAGAACCTAGATCCATTGTTACAAGCTAAGGACCTGGCCCCTGGGAACCTTTATATACTTTATATTACTATGAATCTACAATATGTATGACTTGAACAAAAGCTGGAGTCATTTTGCACAGTGGAAGCTAAAAAAAAAAAAAAGACCCAGCACTGACTCCCAGCACAGAGCATCTTCCTGGGTATCACAGGATGTTTTTCCTCTCATGTGAGCTATTGCACAGCACAATTTGGACTGGACTGTGCATCAGACAAACAAGCACCAGTCTAACTTATAGCACTTGTCAACACCCAGAATTCATATACAATTCTAAAGAGTGAATGACTACCAGCAACAACCAAAATAAACTAGGGCATGTAGAAGCCTGGCATGGGCATGTTAGAATAATGAAGTAGGAGATAGATCAGGTTTGGAGGAGTTTATCTCTAAGGTTTAAGACTCAGAGTGTGGGTTACCTGTCTATAAATGATTCTGTAGCAGTGGTGCTCAACTCTGGTCCCAGAGGCCAGAAGAGTGGAATGGTACTGGTTCACAGACCAGATCCTGCACACAGGGTTGGTCTAAGGGCCAGATCCCACATGGGGTTAGTCTGTGGGTGTGATCCACTGTGCCAACATGACCCTGCATGCTGGATCCAGCCATGGTGCAGCTGTGTACTGCAGGCATGATCTAGCATGCAGGGCCAACTCATTTGGACCATGGGGTTCCCCACAGGTTTGAAAAAGTGGCAGCAGGAGAGTGATGGCAGCATTAATTCATAGCTCTGGGTGCAATTAACATTACTACAGCTCCCCTGCTGCCAGATTTCCAGACCTGGCCCATGGTGTCCCATGGGCCAAATGACATGGTTCCCTGGGCCAGAGGTTCAGCACCACCGGTCTACAATATTTTTAATAGCAACTCTCAATACAGTAGTCAAGGGCCTGCTCCAAAACCTGTTGAACTCAGCGGCCAGATTCCTGTTGGCTTCAGCAGGCTTTGGATCAGACCTGATGTCTGCTGTCTCAGCTAAGATCTCAGCAGTATGATCTTCTTTACACTAATGTGCTGTGGCTACTAAAAAGGACCCAGATAGCTGGCCTTTTCTTTTCCCAAACCACCTCTGTGAAAGTGGTGTGGATTGAAAAAAGAGGTACTTCTTCCAAACTGCCTTCAAACAGGAACCTAGAAATCAATGTGTCACAGCACTTACCTGTCTCTGCCTGTCCCTCTTTGCCATTTACCTGTCACAAGCACAAATCCTATTTAGTAGCTTGCCATTCACAGGCATATTGAGTTCAGCTCACCATCCACTTAGCTATTTGTTCTTAACCATTTTAATGTGTGGGTTAAATTTAAAGTCAAAACGACACAGGGTGCAGCGCTTCCAACCAGCCCATACAAAGCCACTAATTCTCAAATTAAGGATAAATTGATGCTACAAAGGACCCTTCTCTCAGGAAACAGACACAAAACCCTCTGATTTTACAACTGTCAAAGCTCAGATAAATCATAGATCATGTCAGACAGAAACAAACCCTGAGCCAGTTAGACAGAAGGGGGTTAAAAGGGAGAGTCACAGTTTAATGAATTCAGGAGGACCCAGATGGATCAGTTACTTAGAACAATTTGTAGGTTACATAAAAATTATAAAATATATATATCTATGAAAATGAAAGAACACAGACCTCTTCAAGCAGTTGGTCAACTCTTCCCAAAATAGCTGTCTCCATTTGGTCTGCAGAGAGCCAGGCAGGGAGCTGAGAGGATCTGTCTGCTTCCAAATGAGAAACCCTGGATTGCAGGTCTGATGTCCTAAAGTATAGCAGGAGGCTCAGCACCAGAGAAAGCAAAGACACCCCAGGAAGCCCAAAGCCCAGCAGTAGAGGAAGTCTACAGCATCTTTCCCCATCCCCTGTCCTGTGGGGAGCAACACATCCCCTGTCAAAGGCACTCTGGCTAGCACCTTTCCAGCCCTTTTCCTCCAACATTCCCGCCCTGTCCTGAGAAACAATAAATAAATAAATAGAATAAATAAAGTCTCAATCCTACTCCGAGAAACACAATCCAAAATGCATGGCAGAGCAGCGTTCCAGGGAATCCCAATGCCACAAAATGCCAATTGTTATGACAGCAACAAGAAGAAAATCATATGAATAAATGGGGGAAAAAGTTATTTTAAAAAAGGATCCAGCTCCAGAAAAGCTTTGGGGAAAAATAGTCTGCTCAGTTTTTGTCTTTCAGTCTTTTCAGCTGGTTGTAGTCCTTTTTCTTTTCCCTCTAGGTTTATCAGCTTCAGTTCCTTAGCAGAGCCGTGTAGAGATTGCACATGAAAGTCCTCATTAGAGAGAGGTGATTCTCAACTTCTGTGGAGTTGCACTGTGGTTGATCCTGGCTTCTCTGTAACATGACACACTCTCTCTGAACTACAGGGATCAGATGAGCAGGCTGCACTGCTTCCCAACGTACCCTCCTCTGCTGTCCCTCTCCCCCCCCTTACTCCCCCCACGTCTCTCTCTCCCTCGTTCTCGCTGCAATGATTTATTTATTTATACAAAGTGTCTGGGTGGGATCAGACCCTGGGACCCTCCCATCCCAGTCAGTCCCCAAAGCACCTCTCATCAGCTACCCTGTCCCTTTGAAGTGACACTCACTGTGGTTATTTATAGCAGCAGGAAAGAGATTCTAAAGCAGAGGCAGGACTCACACTTCTTCCCTGTCTCACGCCACATTGGGATTTTTTAAATTGCATTTGTGGGTGACTTTATAAGACTGGCACAAATGGGCCATCATATATGGGCAGCTCTTCTGTTTTGACTTCCTAGGACTACTAGAGTACCTGGAACCTAAATCTGACCCTATTTTAAGATGATTCAGCAATGACTCTTCCACTGGCTCCTTTCTTAGTGTGGAGGTGAATCTGGCCCAGCAAGCAGGACGTGTGGACTTTTTTTGGTATAGGTATTTCAGCAAAAGGAGGCCAGTGACATGAGGACATGAGGGTTATAAAGAAAACTCAGAACCAGGAGCCCAGGGTCTACACAGTGTGTGTGGGATTTAAAATTCTGCCAGCAGGTGAACCTAGCAGTCTCTGTCCTGTCAACAGTTGCCAGAATATAAAGTGAATATACACTCCAAATACCTTCAATCAAAGTTGGCTGAGTTATATTATGACTCAACACAGAGGGGCTGGCAAATGTGTTAGAAGGGAGAGTAATTGCTGTCTGGGGCTTAGACTGACTCTTAAATGCTTTTGCTTCAGCCTTCCTTCATAGCACCTTGTTCTCCTATGCTGGATCATGGTTGGTCCAAGTCAGTTGTCTTCCTGGGACCCCCCACCCCCAACCTCAGGTTCTGCTGCAGGAAGGGATACTGATGTTTCAGCATATATTTGCTTTTCTCTCCCAGCCAGTGCCAAGCCAACAGCCACGCACAGGGATAGGGGGCAGTGTGCTACTAAAGGAACTATTTGATCAGAAGAAAATGATGAACCTCTTAGCACTTGTGGATATTACATATCTGGTGTCACTTTCTGTTAAAGTAAAACTATAGAATCCTGGCCAAATTGCAGCTCAGGTAATTACATCCTGTCTGCCTAACCACCCTTTGCAGTTGCAGCTGTATAAAGTATTCCTCACTTCACAGTCTAAATTGTTGTGTCAGGTTGCATGCCTGAATACAGTGGTGCTATGTTCTGCTGTAGAGATTTCACTCATGGAGAATTGATTTCAGTGCATCTCCTGGGTCTATATTAACACCCATGGTCTGCATCAGATTTTGCTGGTGTAGACTGTAGCAGAGGTCTTTGGTGTTACCTATTTAGCTAAGGTAGGAGGTTTTGTGTTGGAGACTGAGATTGGTGTAGAGGGCAGCTCTAGCATATATGGCAGTGGTGTGGAAAAAGTGTGTGTCCAGGGACTCTGCACCTCCATGCAGTGGCTCCTGGTGCTGGGAGCTATGATAAAACTCCCACAGGAGCTAAGAAGGATTTATTTGGTAATTAGAATCCACAGGCGGGCCCTGTAGTGGAGATACCACCAGCTCTCCCTTAGAACAAATTCTCCATGAAACACAAAAGGGCCTCCCTAGCTCTGGCCCACCTTGTCCAGTGTTTGCACAGCCCTTAAAGGGGAAGATGCTATAGTTATGACTTACACTAAACATTTTATGAGACATGATTCCAGCTTCTTAGTTTCCCTTCCCCACATACTTCTTATCCTTTCAGAAGATCAAGAGTAATTACTATAGAGAAGGGATGATAGCCATGCAGCGGACTTGGATAGCAGAAATGAAAACCATCTGGTCATCATGGGCACCTGTACATGTCACAGGGTTTCATCCCAGTTAAATAGGTTTGTAAAATTTAAACTTGTTTATTTTGGAGCATCATGTCAGTGTTTGCACATACTGGGCTTTTGAACAAATTAAGCCAGGTGTGCAATTCCCTGTCAATTCCAGCAGGGGGAGTCAAATACCAATCTACCCCAGTGATTCCCTACTGAATTGCACCAAGGGGTGCATGTTCACCAGTAAACCAGTAAATAATACACCAGTAATCCCCTCCCTCCGCAGGTAGACAAAGAAGTGAACTACAAAAAAGTCGCAGCACCATCTGATGGAAAAGAGGCTAATTACACATCTTTCAGTGCCTTTGCGTTTGCACACAACGAATCCATAACCACAATGCTTTAATTCCCAGTGAGCCAAACTACACGATGTCTGAGGAGTTTTAGTTTAATGTACCAGAAAGACTTTTAAAGCATCTGGAAATCCTGCTCATGCAAGCAGTAACACAAGAAAAGGCAAAAAACATGATGTGTACAAATGCCCCATGTCTATAGAACACAAGAGAAAGTATACTAGTTCTCAGGAGCTGGGAAGAACTTGATGCTCAGTTCAGTAGTTTCTCAAGATAGCTTCTGAAGTAATTTAACACTCAGGTTAAACAACCCAACTTTGTAAGATTACAAGAGAGCTAGATACAGTGTTCTAGGCCAGGGGTTTTCAACCGGGGTAGCACGTACCCCTGGGGGTAGTTTGGAAGGCTCCAGGGGGTATGCGGCAGCTGTGTGGAAAAGCCGGTGGCACTTCTGGTTCTGCTGCTGCACACTGTGCAGGGGACCCCCCATCCCCCACTTGTCAGCTGGTCACCGGGGGATCCCCCAGCTTATTCACCAGAGTGCCCCAAGGGATGACGAGGTTGAACAGTCATAAACTACTACAAAACCGTTTCAGGCTGGACATAAGGAAGAATTTCTTTACTGTCTGAGCCCCCAAGGTCTGGAACAGCCTGCCATCGGAGGTGGTTCAAGCACCTACACTGAACACCTTCAAGAGCAAATTGGATGCTAATCTTACTGGGATCCGATGACCCCAGCTGACTGCTTGCCCTTTGGGAGGGGGGCTGGACTCGATGATCTTCTGAAGTCCCTTCCTGCCCTGATGTCTATGAAATCTATGACCAGCCACTGGGAGACTTCATGCTTCTCGACTGGCAGCTGGGGGTACCCCGACCAAAAAAGGTTGAAAACCCCTGTTCTAGACAGAGGACCAGAGTGAAAGAGATTAAAAGATCACTAGGACTCCCCATTATCAGTGCCAATTGTAAGCTTATATGGTTACTTGGCAGAGCTGATTGCCAGATACCTGCTCCACCCACAGAGTGGCACAGACCTGCATCTTTGGTGATATAGTACCCTTAGAACTATGGGTATTTCTACACTGCAGCCAAAAGAGTATAAAGACTGTTTTAAGGCTGATAGTGCTAGCACTCGTAGTAGTATAGCCCTGGCAGCAGAAAGCTCATCTTAGGCTAGGCATCAGAGCATTTGCCCAGGTTCTTCACTGGATTTTGCAGCCCATACTGAAGCCTTGGCTACTATGAGCGAACTATTATCAGCAACAAAGCTGGCTAATCTAGAGCTATGTTAGGTATATCTATCCATGCTGCAGTCACACCTTTGACTAGACTACGGGCTTACCCAAAGTCAGTTACATTTATGCCATGCCTATCAGAAGCCTTTTCTCTATACTGTAGAAGAACGTGGGAAAGGCTGAAACTTGTACAGAAACCATCTGCACTCTGTGGCTTCTTTAACTGTGTTTGCTGCATCTGTCCCCCACAAGGACTCTGATGAGTTCCATGGAGCTAAATGAACAGGCATTCTGCACAGCTGGGAGCATCCTCAAGCCATGCTAGAGCTCTCAGGGTGGGCACAACTTGGTTAACGTTACAGGAGAGCGTAAGAAATGCCCTGCAGGCAGCAGTGGAATTTCAGAGCATCCCACAGCAACCATACAGTTGACTCCAGTCAGGCCCATTGTTTTAGCTTGGCTGCCAGCTTCAGCACACAGCCCTACATCTGTTTACAGAGGTTTATATTTTCAAAGTTTTTGTTATAACTGCAAGGACTTGAAACATAGCTTCTAGATAAATGGAAAAGCTAGCCTTGAACACAGTTCTACGGCCAGGGACACCCTGGAACCAAGGATCTTGCCACAGAAGGTAGACCTATCTTGCCATGTAGTACATTAAGACCTGATTGTAGTCCCACATATGTGCTAAAAAGAGCCTATGCTGTGCCTTGGGATGAAAAATATTTACTTCTTTCTGCCTTTTAGGATTACAAAATGAGAGGCTTCTGGCTTCTAAAAACCTCTTTTGCACTTTGAGAAAAAATATGTTGTTTGAACTCACCAGGTAATGTGCCACACTCATTTCTGTCCCTGTATCCATCCCTTTGGTCCATCTGTCTCTCACACACACTAATTCTGCAGAAAAGCTGCAGGAGACTACCATAACATCTGCTCCTTAAAATACGGGCTGGAATTGGTCTCTTAAATCAAGTTCCCATGTGATTAGTTCCTTGTCATTTACACGTTTTAAATTAACGTTTTCCGTGCAGTCTGTGCTGAAAATTACTGGCAGAAAAAACTCATATTCATCTCCAGCCTGCCCTCTGTTTTGGATAGTTTGAAGGAATATGCCTTCTGGGACCAGGTTAAAGTGAGAGAGAGCTGTTCCTCCTCAGTCAAACAAACCTTTTGAGGGCCCAGTAGCACACAGCGTTTATTCTTCAAATGGCCAGCTCCCTGAAATGAGATTTTAGTGTCTGCTAGGGAGGAAATCTTTTCTTTATTTCTTTTAACAGGTTTCTTGTCATCTGACAGCTCAAATTAATGTTGTTTCTTTGGAGTGCATAGAAAACATGTTCCTCTGATGGCTGTATTCTTTCAACAGTTTCTCATCTAAATGAACTAGTGCTGTATAATTTGTGGGTTTGGTACACAGAAAATGTGTATTCATTTCTGCAGCCTACCACTGAATTTCATGAAGCTTTTAATTTTTTCCCCTCTGCTCTGGTTCTCTCTTGCTTACACAATGTTGTACATCATATTTCTTTGTAAGGGAAAAGGAGTCTGGCCAAGGCATTTGCTGTCACAGTGATGTTCAACCTTTTTTAAGGAGGTTAAGACTTTTGCTGCACCAGACACGCACATT